GTATTCGATTACAGGGGAACGAAATGACCTTTCGTTGTAAACGTTGTGAAGAGAAGGGCCTTCGTTGTTTCGTGGACACCGCCACGGGGCGTTGTGCCGGTTGTATTTCTGTGAAAGCTGAATGTAGCTTGTTCGTGACTGAGGAGGAGTGGGAAAAGGTGGAAGCAGACAAGCGTCAAAAACGGTTGGCTCTTCTGCGGGCTGAGGCCGAAGTTGCGCGTCTTCGTCTGGAGGTTGCTGAGACTGAGGCCCTTGAGCGGTCGTACGCCGATCGTGATCATGCCATCTTGAGTCTACAGGATCGTGCGAAAGAGCAGGCCGAGGGGAGCTCAGCCCCTGGCGGTACGGGCCTTCCTGTTGTCGAACCACCGCTATCCGAGTTGTCGACTGATCTGGGCTGGTTACAGGCTGATTCCTTCGATCCTTCTTTTGATTACTCCTTCCTTTTCGAGGGGCTTCCCCTCGCTTCTCCGGGTGCTTCTGGTGGTATTCACGTACTAGTGACTTGCAGTTCGTCAGGTTTCCTTCAGGTTCCTAAGTGTTATGGCTTTCGGGCCATCCTTGCCACTTGACCAAGTACTTCCACTGACTACCGATTTTTCGCAGGTCCTTGATTTCCTCGACCTCGTACTCATCGTCTTCGAGCTCTATGTCCGTTGCTAGCTCGGCATCTGGAGGTGCTGGTTCCAGGAGTTTCTTATGAAAGACAGGGTGGATTCGCATACCTTATGGGAGTTTTAACTTATAGTTTACTTTTCCTATTTCCTCTAGGATTTCGAATGGTCGTATTCGGAGGTTGTCTAGTTTTCTGCATGGTCGTTTAGTTTTCAGGTTTTGTCTTAACAAGAAAACTTTGTCCCCCTTCTTAAAGATTGGTCCCTTAATCCTTAGTTTATTCGCTGCTTTAGATGTCGTGAGGTTTTGTTGAGCTATGTTCTTGCTTAATTCTTCGTGCAATTCTCGCATGAGCTTCGCCTTGTCGTCTGCTCCTACCGCGATACTTTCGATGTCCTTCGGATCTCGGTGAGCGGTCGGCTCATATCCGTAGTTCGCGTAGTGCGGCGAATGCTTTGTCGTTGCTGATTTTGTACTATTGTAGGCCAATTGCGCTGTTAGTAGTAACTCTACCTAGTTGTCCTGCAATTTGTTAGCGTACATCCGTAAGTACTACTCTAATGTCTAGTTCGTTCTTTCCGTCTGGCCGTCTGTTTCTGGATGAAAGCTTGTCGAAAGCTTCTTCTTAACACCTAACTTCGCCAGGAATGTACTCCAGTATTTAGACGTAAATAGTTTATCACGATCGGTGATGAACTCTTCAGGTATCCCATGCTCTGACACTAGTGCCTTAGTGACTTCGTACGCGCATTCATCTGCCGTAATAGTCTCTTCCGTGAGCACAAACTTTGCTGCCTTAGTCAATCGGTCCACGATTACTAGTATTGTGTCGCAAAATCGAGCTGATCCTAGTTCCAACGATTTCGGGAGCTTCACTATGAAGTCCATCGTTACACTTATTCATGGTCTAGATGGTGGCTGTAAGGGTTGTAACAGGCCGTAGGGCTTATGTCTCTTAGGCTTGTTCTGGTGACATGCCAAACAGTTACCTAGTGCTTCCTGCACCTTCGCTCGCAAGCGTGGTATCGCAAACACCTTAGCTAGTCGTCTAACCATTTCTTCGATCCCTGCGTGTCCGTATTCCTAGGACTCATGCAGTTCCTGTATGAGACTTGATCTCATGCGTGGAGGTACATATGTTCGATTCTTCGAAATCATATCTCAGTACTCTCGTTCATCGTTCAACAGTTCGTCGGAGCCTGCTTCGTCGGGCTCAAACTACCAGCTAGCTGCTCGCTGCTGCCATTGCTGTTGTAGCGTTTCTACCTGCTCGGCCACCTTAGCTACCTTAGCTAGTTCCGGCTGGTTGTACTTCAGACTGCCATCGGGCATTGTCTTGAGTAAGGCGTCATGTAGTTCTTTATGACCCTCTTCGCGCAAATCAGATCTTCTACTTAAAGCGTCTACTGCTCCGTTGAGTGTTCCTGCGCGGTGCGTGATCTTAAAGTCGAACTAGGCTAGCATCTCTACCCATCGCACTTGTCGTCGGTTGAGTTTTTTCGTTGTCATGAAACTCGTCAAGTTCTGGTGATCGGTAAAAACCTCGATCTGTTCGGGGAGTCCTAACAGGTACACTTCCCATTGTTCAAAGGCATCGACTACTCTAAGTAGTTCCTTATCGTGAACGTCGTAGTTGAGTTCTGCTCCAGAGAACTTCCGTGAATAGTAGAACACTAGTCTCCATTTCCCATCTGGGCACTACTATGACAATACAGCTCCGAGTGCATAGTCGGACGCGTCGGTCTCAACTCTGGTGGGTCGTTGAGAGCTGTACATCTCGAGTACTGGCGCCTCCAGGAATATCTGCTTGATTCGATCGAAAGCCTCTTGATGTTCCTGTTCCCATTTAAAACCTATTTCCTTTTTCGTCACTTCCGTAAGAGGTGCTGTGATCTTCGAGTAATCTCTGATGAACTTTTAATAATAATTCGCAAATCCTAAAAAGAACTGAATATCCTTGACTGTTTTAGGTTTTGGCCATTCCTGTACAGTCTGTATCTTCTTTGGGTTCATTTTCACTCCTTCGGTTGATATAATGAATCCGAGGAATTCCGTTTCCTATGTGTGGAATTCACATTTTCCTAGTTGAAGGTATAGCTTGTATTCCTTAAGCTTTCGTAAAACCTTCTTAACATGCTCGACATGTTCTTCGCGTGTGCCGCTAGAGTACACTAGTACGTCGTCCAGATACGCGGTGACAAAGATTCCAAGGTACTCGTGGAGAGCGTTGTTAATGACTGATTGAAAGGTTGCCGGCGCATTCGTCAATCCGAACAGCATAACCATGTACTCAAAGAGTCCGTACTTCGTTTTGAACGCTGTCATCCATTCGTGACCTTCTTTAATCCTGATTCGGTAAAATCCTTCCCGAACATCGAACTTCGTAAACCACTTAGCTCCCTAGAGTCGATCCATGAGCTCTGTAATAAGTAGTAAGGGATATCGGTTCTTCCGAGTTACGCTGTTCAACCTTCTGAAGTCGACACATAGTCGCCACTTCCCGTTAGGTTTCTTTACGAATAAGATGGGTGAGGCCATCGGGCCTGATCCTGGTCGGATAAATCCCTTCTTTAAGTTCTTCTAAATGTAATCCCGCAGCTCAGCGTCGTGCTCGGGCGCTATAGGGTACATTAGTCCTAGGCTCAACTTAGCTCCTTCATCAAGAATGATCTCGTGATCCCAATCCTGATGGTCTGCTAGGTCCGTTGCCTCATTTTCTTCGAACAGTTCTCTGAACTCGTCCGTTTGGTATTCTGTTAGAATCGCCAACTGTAGTACCAATCCTTCCTTCGTGGTCGCGATCTACCGTATCCAAATGACTCCTACTCTCTGAGGGTCCTTCGCATAGATTCTCGCGATCTTATGCGGTGAGATCATGCCGAATCTCCCGTCCTAGGTTGCGCGCTGATTCGTCGGGCGTGTCTCGTGTCTTACTCCAGCAACCTTGTGCACAGGCTCTCGGCTAAGTACTGTCTTCTTTTGCCAATCAATGGCAGGGTTGTGCTTTAACAACCAATCGTAGCCAATTATCATCTCGGTCTCTCCAAGATCCATAATGCTAATCTTTTCTCAGCTTTCTTAACCAGCAAGGCGTAACGTTACTGCCTCGGTCTTAAGTCGGATCCAGCCGTTCCCGTATGTTGTGGGACTGTCGTCGGCTAATACCACTCGCATCGGTACCTTCTTGTTCCGATAGGGTATGTTGTTTCCTTCCACTACTCGTGGCGATATGACGGTTCGTGCTGCCCTACTATCTATGAGCGCTAACACCTCATGTCCGTCTATAAGTACTGTGGCTTTTAATTGCAACTCTTTTGCTCCCACTTCCTGTACTTGCTTAAGGGTCGTTTTAGGACTGCCTTTGCCAGCGTGACTCTGTCCCTAGTGGCATCCTAGTTTTTTGACTGCCTGCTTCCCTTCTTCTTTGGGAAGTAGCCTTCGCCTGCCTTGGCGGAATAGTGTATCGTACACTGATCGTTGTAGCAGAAGCTCCAATGGATATTCTCATAAGGTATCTTCTATTGCGTGGCCCTCTTCCTTAGTTCCGGCTTCTTGCTTTTGTGAATCGGGCAATCCTTTGCCTCACAAATGTTCGCTAGTAGGATGCTATAGTAGTGGTTGTCTACCTGTCGAGCATTCTCGAACTGTTGTTGGTGCATAGCACAACCTTTCCTGCAATGCGTCCATAGGAGTTTACTGTACTCTACTGGCGTTTCCCGTACTTAGGCCCTATGCATTCTGCAGTTCTTTGCTATGCATTCTTCGGCGGAAATCGTGCTATGGTAGTAGTCGTCTACCCTTCTAGCTTTCCGTCGCTGTTCCTTGTGGAATTGGCAATTGATCGTGCACTTGATCCAGCACAACTCTTCGTGAGCTTCCTTTTCTCCGGGCTGGTGCATGTGGCAATGCTGTACGCGACACTCGTTATGCCATAAATTAGTATAGCAGCAATCGTCCTCGTTGTCTCTGGTTTCTTCTCGCTTCCTCAAGTGGTAATCACACTGTCTTGGGCAGTCGACCCAACATAGGCGCTCGTGTTGCTCTATCCGTTCCTTGAACGTCCGAGGTGTCTCCTCGTCATCAGGTTCCTTAAACCTGGGTTGTTCCTAGGCAGCCCTGCAGGCAATCTCATCTGCTCGGGGTCCTGAGATTGTGACTCTTCCATTGCAGTCGCAATCGTTGGCTTGGTGCGTGGTTAGTCCGCAGATCTAGCACTGTTGATTTCTTAAGCGGCGTAGTACTTCGGCCCCTTCAATCTGCTAATCCGTTAGTAGTAGTGCGTCCCACTTAAAGTCTTGGAGTCCTATTGCCTCTTGTACTAGCTTAAACGCCTCGTCGGTGGCTTGTCTTGCTTCTTCGTATAGGTCTAGGTCGCTGAGGGTTTCATCTGGCTCCTCAGTTAGGTATGGTGTTGGTATCCGAATCATCCCAATCTTGACCGCTCCTTGTCTGACTTCGTTTTTTGGGCAATCTCTGCGGAAGTGTCCTACTTCACCGCATCGGAGACATGCCTTGCTGTCATAACGCTTCTTGCGTTCTTCCGTGGAGAGTCCGTTATTATACTGTCCTCGGGGTTTCTTATTCTTGTCCTTAGACTTGTCTTGTACCTTACCGGTCATGATAGTGTCGCCATCTTTGTCGAACCGGCTACGCTGCCTCCTTGTATTGGCCACCGTGGGTTGAAATTATTTCTTTTGTTGGTTTCTTTCCCACAGCCTATTATTAATGCGTGTCGCTAACTCGATTAGCGCATAAAGCGTGTTTAGTTTGTCGTGATGTATAAGTCCGTCTTTGACATTTTCCTTTAGACCTGCTTCGAACACCGTTCGAAGTGCTGCGTCGTCCTAGTCGATTCGTGCCTGTAGCTGCTTGAACTCGGCTGTGTACGCTGATACTGAACTGGTCTGCTTTAGGCGAGTTATCGCTTTCTCTGCCTGGTTCTGAGCATCCACTTCCCCAAAGATGTGTCCTATCTCTTTCTTGAACTCGGCCCAACTAGTGAACAAGGCGCGCGTCTCGTCCTTCGTTCCTCTGTTCTCGATATTTGATAGATAGTCCTCCACGTATGGCTGTATCCAGCTTAACGCTCGTCCTTTCATGTGGGTGCTGGCCATGAGGATCTTTTTCTAGTCGTTGGGTACTTCGTTGAAT